AGTAAAGTAATTACTAAGAACTATAACCTAATATTTTCATACATATATAATTTAATTTGTTTAATAAATATACTAAATTATAAACTGTGTTAATCATTTTTAAGCAGTAAGCATCAATATATCGCTTACGTTTCCGATATATAAAATTCCGATTTTGATATATTTATAATTATCGATATATTGAAAATCCGCTATTTTAAAAATATCAACAGCCCTAGTTTGAACTGATCAGTTGGAATGATCAGTTGAACTGACCGTGTGTGTTGAAATTTTTTTGGATTAAATCCGTTTGAAGTCATCAGTTGAACTGATGTCAGTTTAACTGACCGTGAGTGGGGACCAATAGACATCTACATCTGTCCTCGATTACGAATCAAAATGCAGATGCGTTATCACCCGTGAGGATTAAGATGGAATGCCTCTTTTCCAGTAAAAGGGTCTCCGATTCTCTACACTCACCAAACGAAACACAGCAGTGTTAAGCTGCTATTTTACGCTGGTATTCTGTGAGAATATGTAAGTATGGGACAGGATGTTGGTTTGAATTGTTTGGCTAGCTTAGTTCCTAGAAGTATTAATTGTAAGTAATAACTTATAATCAATATATATAATTATTTTAATTCAATGCGAGAGTTTTTGTTCGTTTTGTGAAAAATCTTTACCCTTCATTTGTGCCCCCCGACAAATTTTGATACAGAGCCCCTCTAAATCACGCTACTCCACTGTTCACATGTCTAAAAGATGAAGATTGTAATAAATATTTCCTATAAAATCAAACTTATATCCAATATTATATGCTCAAATTGTGGTTGAAAATTATCATATTAAATAAATTGTTTGCCGTTAAATCTTTTGATGTGTTATTTTTACTAAACTTATATTTTTAACTCATAGGTAAGAATTGGCTGAATTCATTAGTGGCTGATGTTAATTTTATGTAATTTGTTGTTACGCTATTCTCTGAAATAATGGAGCGAGAGCAGTTTAGGTAGGTAATTTCTCTTTACGGTAAAAATAATGGCCATTAAAAAAGAATAAAATCTTTAACGGTGGTAGAGCCCTGCAGCAGTTTTTTGCTGTTGCACGTATGGGCCGGCTCGAGCCGGGTTGGTACCACGACCTCACAGAATACCGGCGTGAAGTAGAGGCTCTGCTTCTGCGTTTCGTCTGGTGAGTGCAGGTGGCCGGAGGCCCAATTCCCCCCCCCCCCCATCAACATGGTAGCGGAATTAGACAATAGACTACCCCAGGAGGGTACCAGTACCCCTGGAGAATCCCTCGCTGAGCATCCACGACCATGTTATTCCAATCCTGAGCGTGGGTGCTCAGGCTGCCCCGCGTATTCTGGGGGGGGCAAAATTCCGCTCAAAAACAAAACTGCTCGGGGCAAGCTGAGCAACAATACCAAGGCGACCCCTGCCACGCTATCCGTGAATTTCTGCAACATCAGGGGACTTCACTCTAACCTAAACGCCGTCCACTACCATCTCGAGACGGCGAAGCCGGCCTTGCTCTTTTTGACCGAGACGCAGGTTTCCTCTCCGACTGATATTTCGTATCTCTCCTACCCGGGGTACAAATTGGAGCACTCCTTTGTGCCTCGGGCTGGAGTTTGCGTGTATGTTAGAGAGGACATCTGTTCTCGACGCCTCGGCAGTCTTGAAGGTTCGGACCTGTCCATCCTTTGGCTACGCGTAGACAGCGACGACCATCCGCGCGTCTACGGGTGCCTCTATAGGTCCCATAGCGGTAATGCCGAAACAGACCGACTCATCGACCACGTCCAAATGGCTACAGATTCCTTGCTACAACAGGTCCCATCCGCAGAGATCGTGATCCTTGGCGATTTTAACGCCCACCATGCCGAATGGCTCGGTTCACGTTTAACCGATCATGCGGGGAGATCTGTTTATGACTTTGCCTTGGCATATGGTCTGACACAACTGGTTACTTCGCCTACGCGGATTCCAGATGTGGAGGATCATACACCTTCCCTGTTGGACCTTCTGCTGACCTCTCATCCGGACGGATATCAGGTTTCCGTCGATGCCCCTCTCGGCTCTTCGGACCATTGTCTGATCCGGAGTATGGTGCCACTCACGCTCCCTTCGCGGTTGCGTTCTGCAGGTTGCCGCCGTGTTTGGCATTACAGGTCGGCGGATTGGGACGGAATGCGGTCTTTCTTTGCATCCTACCCATGGGGGCGGGTTTGCTTCTCGCCGGATGATCCCAGTGCTGTTGCTGACTCTGTCACTGATGTGGTGCTACAGGGAATGGAACTATTTATTCCATCATCTGTGGTACCCATCGGAGGCAGATCTCAGCCTTGGTTTGGTCGCTCCTGTAAGACTGCATTGCGCAGTAAGCAGGAGTGTTATCAAGCCTGGGCTGCGGCTTCGGTGACTCGGGATGTAAACACCAGCACACTTAAAAAGAAGTATAACTTCGCCTCCAGGTCCTTCAAAAGAGTTATTGCCAAGGCAAAGTCAGAGCACATAGGCAGAATTGGCGAGAAACTAGTTCGCCTTCCTTCGGGAACCCGTGCATTCTGGTCTCTCGCCAAGGCTGTCCAAGGGAATTTCTGTAAGCCATCACTACCATCTCTGCACAGGGAGGACGACTCACTGGCCCAAGACGCAAAAGACAAAGCCGACCTTTTAGGCTCCCTTTTTGCGTCCAACTCGACTCTTGATGACGGGGGGAAAATACCGCCGACCATCCCGCGGTGTGAGTGCTCCATGCCGGATGTGCTATTCTCACAGCGCTCAGTTCGCAAAGCACTTCTCTCCCTGGACATCCAGAAGTCGAGTGGGCCTGACGGAATCCCCCCAATTGTGCTGAGGACGTGTGCTCCGGAGTTGGCACCGGTCCTAACGCGTCTTTTCCGGTACTCCTACTCCCAAGGCGTAGTCCCGAATTCATGGAAGACAGCTTTTGTCCACCCGATCCCTAAAAAAGGCGACCGCTCAGACCCGTCCAACTATAGGCCTATCGCGATCACCTCCTTGTTCTCCAAAATAATGGAATCCATTATTAACTGCCAGCTCATCCGGTACCTTGAGGATCACCAGCTGATTAGTGACCGCCAATACGGTTTTCGTCGGGGTCGATCAGCTGGTGATCTTCTGGTCTACCTGACCCATAGATGGGCGAAGGCAGTAGAGTCCAAGGGGGAGGCGTTGGCCGTTAGTCTGGACATTGCGAAGGCCTTTGATCGGGTTTGGCACAAAGCGCTTCTTTCGAAGCTGCCTTCCTATGGGCTTCCCGAGAAATTGTGCAATTGGATCACCAGCTTTCTTGCAGATCGGAGCATCAAGGTCGTTGTAGACGGTGCATGTTCTGACTACAAGCCTATTAACGCTGGTGTTCCACAAGGCTGTGTGCTATCACCAACGCTGTTTCTTCTGCATATCAATGATATGTTGCTAACTGGTAACATTCATTGCTATGCGGATGACAGCACTGGTGATGCTCTATACACCGGCCGGGCCAATATTTCTCGGGAAAACGTCGCCGAGTACCGGAACAAACTTGTGTCTGAAGTCGAGTCTTTGCTGGACAAAGTCTCGGATTGGGGGCGACTAAATCTAGTCCAGTTTAATCCTCAGAAGACACAAGTTTGCGCGTTTACCGCTAAAAAGAACCCCTTTGTCGTATCTCCTCAGTTTCAAGGCACTCCCCTTCTTGCCTCAGCCAGTATCGGTATCCTCGGAGTCGACATATCGAGTGACGTGCAGTTTCGTGGTCACTTGGAAGAGAAGGCCAAATTGGCCTCTAAAAAGCTTGGCGTGCTCAGCAGAGCGGGACAGTATTTCATGTCGGCACACCGCCTGCAACTTTACAAGGCGCAGGTTCGGCCTCACATGGAATACTGTTCCCATCTCTGGGCAGGGGCTCCCCAGTGCCAGCTCCTTCCACTTGACCGCATCCAGCGCAGAGCGGCTCGAATCGTCGACGACCGAGCCCTTTCCGATCGGCTCGATTCATTGGCACTGCGAAGAGATGTTGCATCTCTTTGCATTTTCTTTCGCATCTACCATGGGGAGTGCTCTGAGGAATTGTTCGGATTAATCCCAGCCGCCAAATTTCACGAACGCACATCGCGGCAGAACTCCCGATACCATCCACACCATCTGGATGATTGGCGGTCCACCACTGTGCGATTTAGAAGATGTTTTCTTCCTCGCACAACTTCCTTGTGGAATAGTTTACCACCAGGGATTTTTCCGGACCGATACGACTTAAGGACCTTCAAGAAAAGAGCCTACTCCTTTTTAAAAGGCCGGCAACGCATCTGCAATTCCCCTGGTGTTGCGGTTGTTCATGGGCGGCGGTAGTCACTTACCATCAGGTGAGCCGCATGCTCGTTTGCCCCCTCTCCTATAAAAAAAAAAAAAAAAAAAAAATTTAAGACCTGCTTTATGCTTAGTTCAGTTCGTATACAAAGTTCATGATCTAATTTGAAGTATTTTTTGAATATCAGCGGTTTATTGTTCGGTTTAGAGTTAGTTAGATAGAGGTACTTTTGGATTTTTTTCTATCGAGATAATTTTATGGAATCGTGTTGTCGTCCAACATATACTAAACATTCATTCTCAACTTTATGATTTATTTATTTATATCAAAATAAATGTTGCAGTATTTTCAGCATTAAGGAGGATCATGTTAGGCCATTTGATGTAGTATAGTCGCTATAACTGTTTTATGAAATACTATTTTAATTTTTCCTTATTGCATGACGATGATCTAACGATATCGTGTGACAATGTATCACTAGTGACATCTAGAATTCATAATATAAAACAAAAAATCTTTTACATTTTGAACATTGCTTTTTGCTCTTAAACAGTCAGTCATCGCCGAATGTACTTCAAACTGGGTAAGACACATCATTTTATTATTTCGCAGATCTTAACTAAATAATTTTTAACATCTTTAATATAACGGATTTCCTTAAAGTAACGCCTGATTAATCTATTAATTATTATCCTTACTTTCAGTCTTTTTGCTCCTCTGCCCGTGTCGACTGTCCATGGCTATAGAGCGATGTACGTGCGATTGATAGATCCTGATGCAAGAAACTTCAATTTCGCAGACACCGTTAAGACGTTGATGATGGCGTTTGACCTCTGGCAATACGAGGAAGGAACGTGGCCTGGGTATGGTAAAGATTTCATTCAAATTAGAATAATGTAGGTATAGTATACGGTTTATTATGAACCGTATGGAAGAAGCTTTAGGTCGTTCAGTTTTGAAATGGCTATGGTCGGAGTTTTTTTGCGTGATAGTATCCGTAAGGAAAATATCCGCAGTAGAGCCAGAATTCAAAAACCATCAGTAACCTAAACTGAGGATGGGCCAGACATATAGCTAAAAGAACCGATAATCGAGTGGCAGTCTCGTATCGGAGAGCCAAGTGTAGGGCGGGCCACTGGATTGAGTGATGACTTGGTAAAAGTCGATGGATGCAGGTAGCTCAGGACCATGGTTTGTGGCATTCCTGGGGGGAGGCCTATGTTTAGCAGTGGTCTTGTTGAGCAGAGACTGTAATAACTTACGCAAACTTTTTGCTAATAATTATACGTATGACGTATACGTTGCAATTATATCATGGCACACGAGTGGGTTGGCTCGACCGGGAAAGGACGCACACAGTGTAGAGAACCGGAAACATTTTTTAAATGGAAACGAGACATTTCATCTTAGTTCTCAGTAGTGACAACGCGTCTCTATTTTGATTCTTAATCCAAAATAAGAGTGACTAACGTGTGCACAGTTTACTTGAAGGTAAGTGGATGCTGTGGCTGCTGAAAAGAGTCTCCGGATTTCTGCATTCATTATACGAAACATAGCAGCATTAAGTGCCGGTTTTACGATTGTAGTATGTAAGAGTGCGATCCTTACCCGGTCGAGCCGAATCATTCGTGCTACACCATACCTTATATAGCAGAAACATAGTTCCACGACATAAATACAAAACATATCAGCATTGTGTTTAATTCTACGTTGGTATTATGTGAGAGCGTGGTCCTACCTTAGTCGATCCATGCCATTTTTCATATAGTCATAATAAGGCTAATGATTAACTTATCTTGTGCCTTACAGATTCGTACTCATAATCGACATGGACATGACTACTTTAGGTCACATCGCAAAACTAGACCTTATGACCATCAAGCAAGTCTTGTTCTTCTTGCAGGTAAGTAGATAAAGTTATATAAAAATTGCTTTAAAATGTTCCGTGTATTCACTACCTCATAGCATTCCGTGGGAGTAAGAGACGACAGTGGGAAACTGCTGTTTCAGTTTTCCAATCAAGACGAGCAGCAGCTTTTTCCTTATAATTACTTATAGTTTGCCAACAAAGTGTGCCTCTTACCTATTTTAGTCACCAAACAAATTATATCAAAATGCTAGAATATATACAAAATATGAATGCCGCCAAATTTAAAAACTTTATTAAATAAAGATTGTATACAAATGTGACAAACTAGCACACAGTCCATCTTTTCGCTCAAACAACTCCACAAACTCGATAAAATTGTCAGGAAGTATTATTTAAAAACCCAATTGAACACTATCTTTATTAAAATCCTTGTAATGGCTGGAAAAAAAATAATTTCCCATATTTATAGTTTATTCAGATCTATTAACCTACAATTTTATTTTCTCACATTTGTGGTGTTCGAGACACTTTTTATTTTTTACACAACCCTAAGTTTGAACACTGGCCGAGCCGATTTAAAGCAATTCCTCTCTGTATGTGACGAGCTACCAGTGCTCACGCACACACGCGCCTCCAGCTTGTAGTATTGTATCTATCATAGCGCGATTGTATGAAGCTTTGCCTCTGTACGGTACGATTTCTTTACTCATGTGGTACATACACTACATTTTCATAAATATATTGCGATGCCAAAGTTAATATAAATTTTCTCTGAGGGACTCTTTACAACTTAAAGTATAAATCGCCCGTACGATTAAGATTCAAAATACTGATGCGTTGGTTCCCCTGATGTCTAAGATGGAATGCCTCGTTTTCAATAAAAAGGGTCTCCAGTTCTCTACACTCATCATACGAAATACTGCTATTTTACACTGGTGTTCTGTGATAGCGTGGTCTAACCCCAGTCAAGGCGAACCATTCATGCTACAACCATAATACAGCTGCAGCATGGGTCTACCACGTAAATTATCTCCATTAACTCTTAGTAAAAGAACTGCGTCACTGATGCACAGGGTTCGTAGGAGCGCCAAAATCATTGTTAACGTAATTAGCTAGAAACCAGAGTGTGCATTTTTGAGGTACAATGCCTCGCACAGGCAACCCAGGTATAGGTACTAATGTTTATTTAATGTATATATATTGACGACTACATGGTCTGTTAACAAATAATTTATAATTATTAAAAACTAAGGGAAGATTTGTAGTGTGTGGATGTCTAGTGGCATCTTTTACGCTGCCAAAGCTGGGTGAAGAACAAAAAAATATGTACTGCTTGAACGTTCAACAGGAATGCATGCTAGTGAGACTGAAAGGGGTTCACTTTCTGAACGCGCCGTTTTTCATGGACAAAGTTATGATGTTGCTGAAGCCGTTCATGAAGAAATCTCTGTTGGATATATTACACATCCACCAGCCGAACTCTGAAGCCCTGTACGAGTACATCCCCAAAAAGGCTTTCCCAAAAGAAGAGGGGGGAGAGCACAAGGACCACAATTCTCTAAGAGGTAAGTTACAACTTCTGACATATCGGGAGCTATGGTGATGACGTTAGAGATTTCACAATCACATTTTATCCCGTAGGTTCGGTAAGGGTTTTTTAAAAAAATACTAATAATGCTATTAAACATTACAAATATCCCCTAAAACCACTTCTAGTAAATTAAAAATGCTTGTGTTAGAAGTGTTCACGACAGTAGTCGAATGGCGGCTTCGAACCCGCGACCTTTCGAGTTCGAGTCGAGTTCGCGGTCTGCGTCTTGCCATTAGGCTACTGACGCTTCTAGGGGTGACATTGGACGATACTTAAAAGACAACATGGTATTAGATAAATATAGCGATATAATCATCTCATTGAATAAAACTAGTTGTACGAATTTTATCGCATTTAATTTTATTCGTTTTTAATTCCTAATGTTTCGAGCGCTTCGCAACAAGGTCTGGTCAAGGTCAAGGATTTGATTACAGACTGTAGCCTTTCTATTTTTGTCATTGCATTCGACTGAACGACGACAAATCCACGGGAAGGAACATCGATTCCTGTCAAGGATGCTATTGAAATTTAATGAAAACATCCTAATTTCAATAGAGATTACTAGATACTGCCACCTTCTTCTTCTTAGGATCCCGTTATTATAGAAATTAAACCCAAACTCACGCAAGACCTCAAGATATATAAACTCATTCTGCGTTAGACCAGACTAAAATTAATGTAGTAGCAGCGTAAATATAAGAAATCGTTATGTATTCATCTAGTTAGCACTAGATGTTGAATACTCATATCAGTTATGGAAAGCAGCGCCATGTGAGGCTCTGGTACTGCAATCGCCAATGACCCTGACTAGTGTGGCGATTTTTTTTTATAGGATAAGGGTGACAAACGAGCATACAGTCCACCTGATGGTAAGTGGTTACTGCGGCCCATTGACATCTACATCTATCCTCTATTACAACTCAAAATGTAGATGCGTTGTCACCCGTGAGGACTAAGATGGAATGCCTCATTTCCAGTAAAAAGGGCCTCCGGCCACCTGCACTCACCAAGCGAAACGCAGAGGTAAGCCTCTACTTCTGATGGTTTTCTGTGAGGTCGTGGTACCACCCCGGTTCGAGCCGGCCCATCCGTGCGGCAGCAAAAGCTGCCGCGTGGCTCTACCACTGTTAAAATTAAAAATTAAGTGTTTAAATTAAGGCAAATCCTTCTAAAACCGGAGAGCCATATGTATAGCTGTGGAATTTCACGGGCTGATGAAGATGATGATGATGGTGATGCCTTGTGGTGATGGCGTTAGAGAATATACATCATTCCATTCCGTCCCACGGGTGACATAAGAGGCGACTATGGCTTCCAACAGTTGGCAGATGCAGCTGGTACTGAAATTTCTTGACAGAAGATCTCAATATAAATTATTTTATGACTGACCCGGGATTCAATCGGGGACCTCGCATTTCTCGAGGAGCAGCCGCGATTACGATCACCATACCAAATAGGCAGTCAAATTGCATTTTGCCTAATCGTGGATAGGTTAAGTTACCGGTGATTTATCCGGAACGATACGACTGAGGGACCTTTTTATACGTGGTAGAACCATGCTGCAGCTATATTAGTAGTATAGTTGTAGCACGAATGGGTCGGCTCGACCGGGGAAGGACCAAGCTCTCACAGAATACCAGCGTAAAATGGCAGCTTGACACTGCTGTGTTTCGTCGTGAGTGTAGAGAACCATCAGATGGACTGTGACCTTGGCTTTTATATAATGTAAATTAAACTGACAACTTTCAATTTCAGACGAAATGATAGAACGTCTCAAAGTAAACAAGCAGTTCTTCAAGGACGAGAGCCTCCGCCGTGTGAACGAGGCGCTTAGACCTGGTGGCAAGGCCACAGTAGAAGACCTCTTCGGTATACAGGGTAGCTTTAAGAAGTTGGATATTGATTGATAAGAATTAGTACTTCTTCATTAATGTGTAGGTTTAAATAAAGTTTAAATAATAAAATGTTTTATTAATTTTGTTTTTGACGTGACAACGTCTTATAATTCGATGAAGCTGGCTGCACGCACGAAAAAACATGACTCATGCGGCGTTACCTCGCTCTGACGCGTTCCATTTAAAGTGCAAGCGAGAGCGCGGAACGAGCGACAAAGAGGCACAATCGGCCTCCGCGTTCGGCATGTCCGCATGAACAGCTGCTATACAATAATACATTTACATGTTTCCGTCAAGTATGAAGTGCAGTGAAAAGTGAATGTGGTGTCAATTGGTAGCAACGATAATTGCGGCGATAAAGGCAATGATTCTTTCGATATTAAATATTTTTTATGACGTTGTCACGTTCAACTATCGTCAGTAAACCGACTTTACAGTCAACCGATTTTTTATTTGCGTAAGTCATCGACTCTGAAAGTAGTTTGTTTGTAGTATGGATACTCGGAACGTAATTAATAAAAGGATAAAAAAATGACTGTGAAATCAGAAAAGGAGACCGAGGTAATAGGGAACACTGTATACGATATCTCATTCTTTCACAGGCTAAATCCTATAGACTAATATATTTGTCTCTTTTTATTGTCGCTTTTGATTCATCAAACTTCTAATCATAACGATTTTAAAGAATTTTCACTTCAAAAATATCCTTTTATTAATCCACGTAAATACATGCCGTTTACAATATAATACAATACATGGCTACTTTTACTCTTCAGTGATTTCTAAAATTCATTCATACATTCACAACTCATTAATATTTTTATAAAATTTACTTGAACAATAGCCACTTACTGCTCCTGATATATTATGCAGTGTAACAGGTATTCCCATACGTGGTAGAGCCATGCTGTAGCTATATAAGTAGTATAGTTGTAGCACGAATGGTTCGGATCGACCGGGGAACGACCACGCTCTCACAGAATACCAGCGTAAAATGGCAGCTTGACACTGCTGTGTTTCTTATGGTGAGTGTAGAGAACCGGAGACCCTTTTTACTGGAAAAGAGGCATTCCATCTTAGTCCTCACGGGTGACAACGCATCTGCATTTTGATACGCAAACGAGGATAAATGTAGATGGCTATGGGCCACAGCAACCACTTACCATCAGGTGGACTGTGTGCTCGTGTGTCACCCTATCCTATCCTATAAAAAAAAACACATTTTAGACAGATAAGATATATAAAATTTTATGCCCGATTCTTGCATTATATTTTTAGAGATTTGATTACAAAATTTTATACATTTACTTAAAAAAGACTTCTTACTTTTCTACCGACTTCAAAAAACAGACGGTACTCAATTCGAACACATAAAAAGGAACATACAGATGTTATTTGTTTATGTGTGTGACCTTATAATTTTTTTCCGGGTGAACCGATTTCGATGATTTTTTTATTTAAAAGCTGGTGCTTCTCATGTGGCCCTACATAAATTTGATTAAGGTCTGACCAATAGTATTTGAGTTATTCTTAATAGTTTATATTGAAGTCGGTTATACAACATTTTTCATTTATTACATAATTTTTTTTATAGGATAGAGTGATAAACGAGCACACAGTCCACCTGATGGTAAGTGGTTGCTGTGACCCATAGACATCCACATCTATCCTCAATAAAGAATCCAAATGCAGATGTGTTGTCACCCGTGAGGACTAAGATGGAATGCCTCTTTTCCAGTAAAAAGGATCTCCGGTTCTCTACACTCACCATACGAAACACGGCAGTGTTAAGCTGCTATTTGACGCTAGTATTCTGTGAGGGCGTGGTCCTTCCCCGGTCGAGCCGACCCATTCGTGCTACAATTATACTACTAATATAGCTGCAGCATGGCTCTACCACGTAAAAATAATTAACATTTTATATAATTGAAGTGACAAAGAAACTTATATTCCACCTGATGGTAAATGGCTATTGCAGTATATGAACACCTGCAACCAAATTTGAACAAAGAAGACTCCAGGTGCGTTGTTACCTCTGAAGACTGAGGTGGAATGCCTTCAATTAAAGTGACTCTTTAAACCTTTTAGACCAGTAGTTCAAGCACGGCTGTTCGGTGTTAAAAATAGGTAAAAGGCTGTTACCTACTTAGACGGACTCCTAGGCAGAATAGGAATCCTACCATCTAGAAAGTACTTGGAAAAAAGTAAAACGTAAGATTACAATCTCGCGGTTCAGGCCTCCTCTCATTTCTCATAAGGTCATGGAGCAGTTACCCTGCCGAGTTGCTCCAGCGCGTGGTTGAATTTTTTTTTATTGAGAGGGGGCAAACGAGCAATACGTTGCGGCTTATCCGATGGTAAGTGAATACCGCCACCCATGAACAACTGATACACTAGGGAAATTGCAGATGCGTTGCCGGGCTAAACAGAGTTGGCTCTTTTTGAAGTTCCGTAACTAGTATTGGTCCGGAAAAATCGCTGGTGAAAGTCCATTTCACAAGGGAGTTGTGCGAGGAAGAAAATTTATAATAAATCGCACAGTAGCGAACCGCCAATCATTCACATGGTATGGATGGTAACTCCAGTTTTGTTGCGATGTGTGATGGTGAAATTGAGTGGCTGGAATTAGTCTAAACAATTCCTCAGAGCACCCTCCGTGATAGAAGCGATAGGTTACGCTAAGAGATCCAACATCTCTTCACAGCGCCAGTGAGTCAAGCCGACCGAAAACAAGTCGATCGCCGACAATACGGACCGGTCTGTGATGCGATCAAATGGAAGAAGCTGGCACAGCATTCGATGTGAGGCCGAACCTGCGCCTTGTAAAGTTGCAGATGGTGTGCATAAAATACTGTCCCACTCTGTTGAGCACGCCAAGCTTTTTAGAGGCCAATATGGCCTTCTCTTCCAAGTGACCACAAATTTTATACGTGGTAGAGCCATGCTGCAGCTATATTAGTAGTATAGTTGTAGCACGAATGGGTCGGCTCGGCCGGGGAAGGACCACACTCTCACAGAATACCAGCGTAAAATAGCAGTTTAACACTGCTGTGTTTCATATGGTGAGTGTAGAGAACCGAAGACCCTTTTTACTGAAAAAGAGTATCGTCGTCCTCACGGGTGACAACGCATCTGCATCTTGAGTCTTTATTGAGGATAGATGTAGATGTATACGGGTTACAGTATAACCACTTATCATCAGGTGGACTGTGTGCTCGTTTGTCACCCTATCCTATAAAAAAAAATAGAAAATCTAAAAGTATAATATAATCTTGTAGTAACTGCATAATTAATTACAGGTAAACACCGCTAAGCCATAATATGAAAACTAAACTCTATCTTTCAAAAGGCTTAGTTTCAGGCTGTTTAATTAATTTATAGCGAGATCGTCTTAGTTAGGTCCCTTATGTACGTTGTATGTTTATATAAAAATACACGATACAAGGGATTTGTAAGGATTTGTAGAAGAGAGTTTGATTCATTGGTAGTGAGGAAACACAAACATCGACCGAAGTCGCGCATGTCAATGAGTGTGAACTCTATACAGAATACGATTAAATCCAGCCACAGTGACGCATGTCAATTGTATGAACAGCTCGGCTACTAGCCGCAGAGCGTGTCACTCATGGCAATGCTGCTCACCTCAAAGGAATGGGGTTCCACGTTAAGCGGCTTACGCCATTATAAGCTAATAGTAATAATTCGCCATCAGAAAGGGTTTGTGTCACTGACGTTGAGTATATGCATTTATCGATCATGTTTGTCTCACCCACCAACAAGTTGCCTTCAATCATTCAAAGGTGGGAAATTTACAGAGATAATTTATTATGTTGTTATATAAAACATCATGGAGATCAGACAGTCTGCAGCACCGTAATGAAGGGACCCAACTTGGGTAACGCTACTTAGGTGTGAGTCAAATCAAGACATAGAGAGCGCAATTGAGAATAGCGACCCGCCAAACAATCATCGTAAATAGGCAATGCTGAAGAAACAACAGGCATTAACACGATTATCATCAGGCTTACGCCATCCCAAGGTCCCTCATATAACCCCAGCAGACATCACTACCCACATACCTCCATCGACCAGAATCACAAGATATAATACCGCAAGTAGCAGTAAACATCAATGCACCTACCATACGGATGACGGACCCTCACAACACACCCACACAACGCACCCACATGATCCATATCGACTTTGGAAATAAAATTGGTACTATTGTTAACTAAAAATAGCACCAATGTATAGTACATTGGTGCTATTTTAGTAGCACGCTACTAAGACGCCAGTAGCCCACTTATTATAGATATATCCCAAGGCACTTAGATGATATCCCAAGGTCACATCGGTTAGCGAGTACAAGTTTATCTCGGTCTCGGACACGGTGAAGCAATCTACATGCTGCTATAATAATCCTTTTCAAGTCCCAATCAATATAATGATTTTACATGTTCCACATATTTGCTTTATTTTATCATCATCATCATCATTACAGCCCTTCACATGTTCACTGCTAAACATCGACGTTCCCCAAAGAATGCCAAAAAGCACGGTCCTAAGCCATCTCCATCCATAAACTTCCATATCTTACCAGGTTGTCACTCCACCTAGTGGGGGGTCACCATAAACTTCATCTACCGGTACGAGGCTGCCACGCGAGAACTTTTTTTCTTTATATATAAGATAGTGGTGCGCACGCGGAGTTTTTAAACGAAAAAAAAAATCGTCACGATTTGGTGTAATCAAATATGTTTACTCCTAAATCGCTTTTCACATAATTTGGTGTTGGAACAAAAAGTGACAGGTAACGAACATTGTTTTAAAAATTATTGTCATCCTTATTTCATATCATTCCTTTTATAAATTAAAGATTTATTCTATTACTCGGGTTATTACATTCTTTGCAGGTTTCTTTTCGAATTGTTTTAACGATAATTTGATTTGAGACTTGTAAATAGAAAAGAAAAACAACAACAACTTTACATTAGCTTACTCTGCTCCTTCTG